ATAATATCTTTATAATTAATTACATTGGCGATATCCCGATCATCACGAATACGTCTATCATTATCTCTCTTGAACTCAGTAGCAGCACTCCGAACATGTCTCTCAACATTTACTCCTTCAGTTTTTTTTAACGCTTCCAATACCTCATAACTGATACTATCATCAGGATTCTTAAAAACTTTTGAAAATGCATTTTGATAATCAGTGGTACTCATCATACCCATATGAATCTTTTACCATGAAGCATATATCAAAATAATAATCTTGTAAAAATATGAAATATTTTTATCAAATAAAATCGGATTATCTGAAAAAGACATCATTTATCAAAATACAATAAACAAATAGGGTATTTATATCATCCTTTATAATTATATGAAAATAATAAAAGACTATCCAACATCAAATCAACACTTCCCTTGTCATCAATTCCAAAATTATCACAAATCTGTTCGATCTTACAAACTTGATCTTGATTTAGAAATCTTGGACCAACATTATCACTACTCGAAATCAACCAATTACAATAATCATTAACCTGCATCCTATAATCAAATATATTGGGAATTGTAGTATTCCGAAACTCACCACCACCCTTAAAAATAATAGCAATTCTTTGAACATGATAATTCTATCGCTTTAAACCTGTCCAATACAATGTGGCTAATTCATCATTACCAATCCTATTATTCGAGTTTGAAAAAACAGAAGAAAATGCATTCTGATAAGCTCGGACATTATTCAAACCATAATTCCAAATATAATAGATACTCCATCGTAATATTACGATCTTATAGAAATGTGATATATTCTTGTCCAATAAAATTGGATTATTTTCAGATGTAACCATTCGTACTTCTATTCTATAAAAAATATAAATAAATATTTATCCATTTACATTCAATTCGATTAAATATTACCTCTCTTATGAATCTTGATCTCAACATAACACACATCAAACAACTGATCAATTTATAACAAACGATTGATACTATGACCATACTTAAAACCCAATCAAATTAAATCTTAAAATTAGAAAAAAACACTATCGCCTTATCACGCCAATCAATATTTATTATACTATAAATAACAAATCAAATTAACTTATATTCAGACAAATCTTTACACATCAGGTAATCCATGAGATAATTAATCTTATGATCTGGAAATCTTTTCCTGAAATAAACTTGACCATCTCTAATGATAATCTCACCATCAACATCTTGATTCATGTTCTTGATCTTTTGTTTTAACTCATCGATTGTATCACCATACCTCCTATATTTGATATCCCATCGCATGTTGCGAAAATCATCCTTATTACTCTTTTCAAAAAATATTCTAGTCATCCGTTCCTCAACATCATCATTCCACTTCCCTTCCAACCGGATGATGTAATCAATACGATAGAGAAACTGCTCGGATGAACGTTTATTGTCATCTTCATCATTTCTGGTACCATAGGTATATGCATTCTGTGATGATTGGGTGCTTGTCATAAATATATATCGTGGAATAAATG